ATGTTTAGTGAATATCGGGAGACAGAATCACCATCTTTGTGCAATCAAGTACAAGTCAACTAATGCAATATTGCCACAACATACCGGCTCCAGTGGGTCCATAGGCGAAGACACTGGCGTTCTGCCCGTTCAATATGTGTGGTAAAATGGGCTTCACTGAGGAGAGGAAAACCTCCTGCTGTGTCGTTTGCTCACCATGAAAGGCATCAAAGCTGAAACAACATCAATAGCACTCTCAGAATTTAGAGTTGAACAACAATAAAAAGGTATAAACAATATAATAATTAAACAGTTGAGTCATGCTGAAGACACTGACTGGTATTTGACTGATTCCGTGGCGTTTCTCCAGTTCACTATTTCCACGTTTTGTGAGTCCAGGCCTCTGACACACGGTCCCTCGTCTTTCTCATCTTGTTTGCCCATACAGGGTCGCAGACGGACCGCTACCCGAACCCGGGTCGTCTTCTTGTTGTTTCCTCCATCTGGTAGCGCCACACGTTGAGCCATCTTTGGGCTCTTAAAAACAAAAGGCCTACCACAACAACACAAGCGAAGTTAGCCAAGCATAGTTTACGTACACTGTTTTTCTACCCTGATAAAAAAGAAAAACGCAGATTAACAAACAGATTTAGGTTTAAATTAAATGCATATACGTTTACTTTATAACTTTAAACGGCTAATAACAAACTAGCTCTAGGTGAGCTAACTTAGATTACGTGACTTTTGCTTTTCAAACTAACGTCAGCCTCGCAGAGATCAGTTACTCCGTTACCGATTCCATCACTGATGTTTCGTCAGTACTTACCGATATTACTTGCTCCTTGACTCCTTGGACGAACACCGTTGTTAAACTCTACGTTTCACTTTTAGCAACATTGCAAACACCGTCTTTTAACAATGGCGACCGAGCCAACGTTAACCGAACACTTTTCAAATGAGGAGCTCTGCGACCGGAAACGGCATCCACCAATCAGAATCACTGGCGCCCATTTGACGTGTACCAACCTTATTTATACGATTTAATCGACCATCGAATACAAAAGTCAAAGCTATGCTACTTACACAAACTTGTACATCTTTTAAAATAAGTAATTAACGTCTAATAGTGAAGTAAAATGTGTTCATTAACATTCCACCCGATGTGAGTTCATGCCTGACTGCGCTTGCGCACTACGCCGGAAGTCGTGCCAAAAGTAGATCTCCAGTACACACACCTAACTGCTGTGTGGAGTTCGAGCCGTGGGCGGACTATCCATGTTGTGTGTAATCAGTGGGAGTGCGCAGTCTCGCAGAAGCAGGCAGATCGTCACACAGTTGCTCTAGTCCAAAATGGCGCTATGTTTACGTCTCTACATAATCGTTTATTATCCCTAGCAAGTCTCATGGAGCGCTTTGGTGATTTTATTCACTGGGGAAGATAATTTGAGCTAGCATTTAGCTACAGCACAAGTGATTTACGATAATCGGGACACTCGGTAATGACAATATAAGGTATGCTATCTCATTTTATTCTGCTCTGTAGACATAGCTGAGAGTTAGGCCTGACGAAAGCTAGCTAACTTACTTAAGTCAAATAAGAACAACATTACGTTTTATTTATGACTTTGTTTGACTGCTTATCATTCAGCAAAGTTAGCAGCTATCGTTAGGCTACCCGTTAAACGTTATAGGCATGATAATCTTCTCTCAAAGACCTCTTACTTCACATACTAAGTTACTTTCAGTTGCACTAACATGTAGTTTTCTCCCCCCACAATGCTTCTGTCTTACAGATCTGTGGCTCTAAAGTTCAGCAGCAGTAGGAAGGATGCAGGCTGAGGCCACAGACTCTTCACTGAGAGAGGGCATAGAGGCTCTGGGTGTGAAGGACACAGAGAAACCTGCAGCAGCCCAAGAGGAAGAGGGCAACACAGAGCAACAGGACACGGAGATGACTGCTGCCACAGAGGAGGATGCAACTACCAAGGATGAAAAAGGTAACTCCATTCAGAAACATATATGGACAGAAAGGTAATGTCGCATCCAAGCCAAATTAGGAGGCAAGAAGTTTTACCATTAAGGAAACAGTCTTTATTCATAGTTTGAAAAGTGCTCATGCTGATTAATATCTAATTATGAGTAATGTAAGGCATAATACAAAGTGGTTCACAGTGAATGGTAGCTAATCTATGATTGCATAAGTAAAAATATGCAGGTGTAGGTATAAAATGTGTGTTCAAGTCCAGGAAAGTAGACGTGTAAAGAGCAGAAAATGTAAGAAAACATGGTACAACTGATGCATTAATATAATGCATGAATAAGAAATGTATAACATTATATAGATGATAGTTAAGAGATATCAGTTGAACAGAATCAGAAATACTTTATTGATCCACTGGGGGAGATTTGTTTGTATGTATGTATCAGTTTAAGAGTTTCTTAATGAAAAAATAACATTGTAGTAAACACAAGGAAATAGAGACACAATCAAAATAAACCACAAGTGTTTTGATGTAAGGCTGTATTTGATGCAGCCCTCCTTAGTATTAAAATGTTCCTTCACCAATAGCTTGTTGAGATTTACCCAGTACTGAGTAGTTTATACAGTGTCACAGTATAATTTATCTGTAGTACTGTAGAGAAAAGTAATCTATAATCTAATAGTCAAGTGCTATAGTTCTGTAAAAAGCATAATAAAATAAGTGTATCTTTCTACCACTCAACAGCTTTTGTTAAACTGACTTTCTTCACATTTTTGCCGCCTCCTCAGATGGAGACTCAGATGCAGTGGAAGCAGAGGCGCACAAAGATGAACCTCAGGCAGACACAGGGGTGGATGGCGAAGAGGGAAAGCAGGCTGCAGTAGTGGACGGTGAATGGGAGCTTGCATACAGCGACGAGGAAATGGAGGACCCCAAAAACTGGATGCCCCCTCCTGCTGAAATCAAAAGACTCTATGAGCTCCTCGCTAAAGGAGAGATGCTTGAATTGGACTTTGTGCCCCTCCCTAGAAGGCCTCCTACACCTGAACGCACCCCCTCACCTGAAAGAGATGACGAGGATGAGGCAGCGAGAGAAAGGGAGAGGGAGGAGAGAGAGCGCAAGTCAGTGTTACTATTTCTCATCATATCACGTTTACAGATTTTGGTTTGTGGTCTTGTATGTGAGAAGTTACTTTTGTTTTTTATCCAGACCTCCAACTCCAACTGAGTTTGACTTTGATGAGGAGCAAATGCAAGCCACTCCGAAAAACTCCTTCATCGACAGACGCAGAACACCAGGTGTGACAGGCAATAGCCACTGAGATTAGAGTTTTCAAATTTGCACTCTAAAACTGCATGAGCTAAATTTTACTGTGCTTCTGAAAGCACAGTAAAAGTGATGGTTTTGTTGGTTTTCTTTCACTCCCAGGATCTTCAGCCCGCGCGTCTGTGAAAAGGGAAGCTCGGCTGGACAAAGTACTGTCAGACATGAAGCGCCATCGCAAAATTGAGGAGCACATCATGCGTACGGGTCGAGATCTCTTCAAGAACGACAAGAAGCTGGAGGAGGCTCTGTCTCCAAACAGCCAGAAGGAGCGGGAGAAGGAGAGGGAACGGGACAGTAACCCCAACACCATCTTCTCCCCGAGACAGAGGAGATACTGAAGTATTATGTGATGAGGACTTGCCCAGAGGCAAACAAGGCCAAGAGCTTTCAGAGGCTTTCTCAAAACTTGAATTTTCTAATGTAACGAGTTTTCTATGTTTTCTATGTGTGTTTTGTATATTGGCAATAAACATTTTAACCCTGGAGAATGTTAAGTGATCTGTTGTAATCCGGGTACAGTACGGGTGGGTGATGGGGATAAAAATCCTCTGTAAAGGCATGATTGTGATATTGGTATACAGTATATTGTGGTATACTAAAGTTTGTGAAACGTCATGGCTAAAATAACAAGATAGCAATGTATTTTTGGCTAATGCAGCAAATCAAATACCTGGCATATCACCACACGTCTCACATTTATGCAAAAGTTGTATATAGAAACGCTATTAATCCTCATGAATGTACATTGCACACAAAAGCCTACTACCAGTGGTGGAATGCAAATAAGTACATTTAATTTGTACTTAAAGGGAACAATATGTAATATACTTACTATGTTAAAAATAAAATTACAATGAGATATCTTAGACATTAAGGAAACATGTTAAATTGAAATACTGTCTGACAATATTGTTACAGCCTGTATATTCTCATTTTAAATTTACAGTCTTGCAGAATTTCTGTTGATGTTTTGTCCTGATTGCACTGACTATATACATATATAAGGTTTGGAAAGACTGGGTTGCCAGGTATGGCTAATTTCCACACGTACACAGCGAGCTGCAGCCATGGCAGCAATCAGAGGATCGGCAGAGATAATGTTAGAGTCTGTCCGACATAAACATCCTCTGTATCTGTGTAAAGAGCTCCATGACCAGAGATGTGGTAAAACACGGGTAAATGTTGGGAGATAGATTTAAAAGATGGAGACAGCTTCCTGCCAGAAAGGATTTCAAGAGCAATGTCAAGTTGGCTCATTTCCTCCTCAACAGGTAAGCACATTGGAACATACCAAGCGAGGACACAGCTAGGGGGATGTTAAAGTTTGGTCCATGAACTCCGTCTGATAGTGTCCACTTTCACTTATATTTCATGCAGACTGTGGAGCAGTTTGACCGCCATCAGGCACAGAGGAGCAGATGGGACCGAAATATACGACAGGAACACTAGTTTGACTGTAAATTGACTCAATTGGCAAATGCAATTTATTACATACAGTTTTTTGTCTAATTATTCTCCACAGAGCCACAACTCCAGATCGATGAGCAGTAAGAGCCTCAAATCTGTAATAATAGTTATGAATATTTGTTTATATTCTATTCTATAGATCATTGTCTGCATTGCTTTTCTAGTAAGGTCATTTCACTGCCTTGAGTTATATTGCAATATATTATGGTGAGAATTACTTGAATCTCGATGCTAGTAATAACAGCTATACTTAAATGTATTATTATCATTACTGATCTCAGTATTGTTGCTATCATTAGTTTAGTCATATACTATGTACAATGGGTAGTTTAAAGACATTTTTCACTACTGTAACTTGTGTTTGTTACAACCATTATCAACAACTCAGTTTCATTACAATACCATCTTGTTAATCCCTTTTGTATGTATGGACCTCTGCCTGTATTGCTCTGTAAATAGGACATTTATACATGATTAATAAAAAATCCCAATGCTCACCTTTACTTACGTGTTCATTATAATTAGTATTATTAAATAACTACAACAACAAATGGTATGATGATAATATTCTGTATAACATTTATGTTTCTTTTAAATGTACAAAAAGTGGAGAGTTTTGATGACCTGATGATCCACAGAGGGACAAGATCCTGAACTGTAGGTTCAGTATCCTCAACCTGGCAACCCAGGTGAGCTTCTAGCCTGGGGAGGAAGGACTGGGGGAGACAACTTGCTACGATGTTTTGAATTTGGACTGCAGTACCCATTTTAAACACTTGCTGTCAGTCTTACATGGCCCCTTTAAGTACAAATTTGAGGTGCTTTGAGTATTTCCATTTCATGCTACATTATACTTCTATTCTGCTACAGCTCAGAGGCAAATGTACTTTTTACTCTATATTTGTATGATGGGTTCATTCGTTCAATTTCCGTACCCTTCCTGTCCAGTGAAAACCACGCATCTCCAAATTTGGTGACTAAAAACGTATGTGATCCTTTATGGATTGAAAAGAAATTCTGTTACTTCTTACACTAAATAAACAAATTAAAAACTGGATTGAATGAGCTGGAAAGTGCATACTCACAAACCTAAGAATTTTTCTGAGTTCATGAAAAGTTAACGTTTTAGAGAAATATAGTTCTCAATGAACATTTGACCACTGCCAAGTACAGCCAGGATTATTATTACACTATAAATGGTGTCTTAAATTCTCTTACAGTAGAAAACATTAGTCTCACAGTACTTGGTATTTTATCCTCCCTGATCCTAGTCCTCATTCAGTACCATTTGTTTCACAATAATACGTGGAATTTCCTTTCGTAAAACAGCCCATTAAAAGGCCTTTTCATATTGCAGCAGGAGGATCATCTAGGCAGAGGTCAGTCACTTGAAGAGTTACATTAATGGATTCTGGTGCTCTCTCATGGCACACTTTTACCTGGAGCAGTAATGTCTGAAAAAAAAAAAAATGGCATTGGATGATTTATAATTTTGAAAACATCAACTAAACTCAAGGAAAAAAAGACTCAAGGCAGACTC